TTGCTTATCTCAGCGAAAACTCAGAGGCCACTAAATCATAGTAAAGAGATAATGCGGTTAAGAATCTTGCTCAAGAAGAGATTTTTTTTTTGGGATAATCCGATAAAAATGTTTCACTAAAAACTGCCGATAAAGAGGTAACATTGCAAAGTAAAAAGAAAGTCCAAAACGTAAAAAAGCTTTTCTAATTCAATCGGAAAATTATTGACTTTAATCTTTGGCATAAGTTTGAGATTCGATTTTCAGATCAAACCATTGCTTGTGAAAATGTTCTGTTATGCCGTAAGTTTTATATTGTGTCTGTAGAAAAGTTGCTTTCTTACTGAATGCGTCTTTGTTGATTTCTTTCCTTTGCATCGCATTCTTAAGTACTCAACCGACATTTTATTGAATTTGAACGTCAAAATTGAATTTACATCTTTTTATATTTCTTTCTTTTAATTTTCTTGTCTTCGTTCTTTTTCTTTCTTTATTGTTTATTTAATTTCTGATTTCAGTTTCTTTCATTTCTTTTTCTCTTCTTTTTATCATCCTTTTCTTTTTTTCTTTCTGCTTCTTTTTACTTCTTTTCGACTCTCCTTTTTTCATTCTTTCTTTCTTTCTTTCTTTCTCTTTCCCTGGTTATCTAATTTTCTTCTTTTCTCGTCCTTCTTTTCTCTTTCTTCTTTTTCTTCTTCCTTCGTTCATTTTCGTTCATTTTCTCTTTCTTTATGATTTCTACTTCGTTCATATGGTGTTCCTCTTATTATTCTCCGCCGATAGTCAAAGGGGACACATTCTATGTGACCCGCTATCAAAATTCTCAAAACCAAATTTCGTAAAAACGAACAGTGAAATTCAGAAAGGCAGGCAAAAATCCGTCCCAATAAAAAGATTATCAACGGAATTATGCGATCAGAGGCTGCCTCAAATGAAAATCATTTTGACACGAACGTGGCATCAAAGGATGTGTCAACACAGAAGCCAATCCAATTAATTCATCCAGTGAAATTGAGATTCCTTAACGTCAAATCAGACCCTCAAAGAAATAATAGTTTTCTTAATTATTTTTCGTTTTCTTTTTTGCATTCCCACCAATAGGGTTTACTATCTCTTGTTAGAGATCAAATGTCTGCAAGTTTCTTCGAATGTCCATCACATGTTGTTAGTATTCATGCGACAGTAGTATGAATTGCTACAGTTCTTTGACTTTGCGGTTTTTTCAGCTTCTTTGTAAAAGTCTAAATCCTCGAATGGTTACTGGCACTATCGTCCCTTTCATATTACACAGTATCTATTTAGATCTTCACATTTGCTTTCAGTTACATTTTGTAGATCGCCAGAACAGGTAGTATCTTTCGTTGTCTTTTCTATTCACAGAACCATTCTTACCTCCTTCCTGTTCTGTACGTTTTCATGAATAGCCATAAACTTTTCTATTTTGTTCAGTTTCTTAAGGATAAGTATATCCTTCTCCTATTTTTCCCTTGCTAACTTTAAATATTTTTACTTTATCATGGCTTTCCACAACTTTATATCTCGTGTGGCTCATAGAATGTTTATAACTTTAATAAAACTCTCGCCTTGATTCAGCCATCAGTCAGCACAAAATCACCTGGTAAGTGACTCGATGCATTCGCCTACGTCTCTTGCTCTCAATATGTCTCTTGAGAATTGAGTTTTTCAGGCCTTTCTTCCTCATCGCGTGTCCAAGGAATTTCAGCTCTCTTTTCTTGATTCTTAGTGTAAGTGTTCTTTCTGTTGCCATTTTATTTAAAACTTCCATGTTGCTTACTCGCTTCGTCCATGGAATTTTCAGTATCCTTCTCTAGAATCATATTTCTCGCCTCTAGTTTGTTCGTCATCTGTGAGGAGATTGCCTAGCATTCAATGACATATAAGAGAATGGATACCACACAGCAATCCAGCACTATTTTCAGTGTTTTTAACGAAGATTTTTTTCCGTTTCTCAGCAACTTGCTTAACTTTTGTTAATACCCCTTTCGCTAATCCAGTGCGTGTTCAGATCAGGGTGTCGATTTTAAAACACTTGCCATATATTTAAGTTTCTGCGCCTGTTTGATGCTTATAGCTCCAATTCATAACTCGCATCTTGGGATTTTTCTCTTGCTAGTGACCAGGCTTTCTGTTGCAGTTGAGGGTCAGTCCTTTTCTTTCGTTCTCTTCTACCATCCTGTTTAGGAGACATTTTCTTTTATTTCTACACTGTCATTTTCCTTTTAAGCTCAGTAAAACACTAAGGCACGGTAGATTAATGGTTAGCGGCTCGTACTGAGGAATCCTTCGGGCTGAGTTCGAATTCCAGTCGAATCCATTGCGTTCACTTACGTGCTAATATCCTTGGGAAAAGTATGAATCCTCTTCTTTTCCACAGCCCAGCTATGGATAAATAGCAGGACAGACCGGGCTCTGTAGCCTCGGATGGCAACTGGTCTATCGCAGAAAAAAATGGCTACCTACTGCGGGAAAAAAAATGCCTCGTCAGTCATGTATCGAAAGAAACATGATCACGCATGGCACATAAATGACTGAAAACACTAACAAAATAATCAGATTATATTTACATGATATAGCCATGTATATTTATGCTTATCTCCCTTTCCATAAGTTTGACGAGAATAGGTAGCTATTTACACTATTTACATTGTTCGGATTGTTAACCTCATCTTTATTGTCATATTCACGACGTTTCGGTCGGTGTACGCTCTGGATTTCGTCAGGTGATATACGTTGGAATTTCGAACCGTAGATTGTTCTAGTTCCACATCCCATGCCTTTTCTGGATATCTCAGTTTCAGTTATGTCCCTTTAGTAACTCAACTCTCCACGTTTTTCCCCACCTCAGGTATTGGACTCACTGGATTAATTCAGCCATTGGGCCATGTGTCCAAAGATAAAAGCCTTGGTTGAAGCAACTTAAATTACGTTATTACTGTCGATTATACATTCCAGATCACGAATCTATATATAAAATTCTGTGACTTCCTTTAGTCCGTCCGTCCGTCACCCTCTCAAATAGCCATAGACTGACCGATCGAAACCAAATTTTGCGTAGAACTGCAAACAGGTAGTGGGGTACAAAGTACAGTTTGTTTTACTAGGGTGTGTAGCTTAGTACAATAATTTTTCATTAATTTTTTGAAAAAAATTAAAAGTTTTATTATTTAACATTCAAAACACTCCCACTATTTTAAAAATAATTTAATGATTAAAATAACAAATACTTATTTAATAAAAATGCAATATTGATTTATCCATTTCTTTTCTTTAAGTTTTTATAAATACAAGAATCCAGTTTCCAGTTCGCTTGACAATTGCGAGAACTATAAACAAATCACAAGAACAAACGCTCCCAAAAATTGGAATTTAGCTTCAGAAAGAAATATTTACGCAAGGCCAGTTTTATGTTGCATGCAAAAAGAGTAAGAAATTCTAAGAATTTATTCTTCGCTGTTCAAAATTAAAAAGGAAAAAAAAGACATATTCCTAAAAACTATTGTTT